CATAAAGCAGACCTTGCAAGGTCAGGCAAGGTCTACTTCTCACATAGTCCTCCTAGGGTAGTGATGGCGAACCATGTTGAACCCGAGTGCCCAAATTGTGACGCAAAATCAATTTATTTACCTCAAAGTGCCAGCTCTGAAAATAAGTTTAGTACTGTATTGCAGTTTGGGCGCTCGGGTTTAAGAAACGTTCAACATCACTGCCTTAGGCCCCATTCACACCAAGCGACATACCTTACAAGCGGATCCGCGCGACTGTTTGGGGGCAACATTCCAGCGGCGGGCTGCATTCAAAAATAGAAAAATCACGCGACATCCACGGGAAAAAGGGTCCTGCTACAGCGACTGGCGACAGGGAAACATGCATAATCAAACATTTATACACTCAATAAAACACACACACGTAATGAAACGCACACATCACGCACTTACTAAAAACACACATATTACACACACACACAGAACTAATAATAAAATTGAATAAATAGAACATTGCCCCTTGCCTACTCTCCTACTATACTATGCGGGTTTATTCCATTCCATAGCCTGCATTTTGCAGACCATTCATGAAATGCAGGCCATGGTATCCTACCGAGTTCTCTCTGTTTAATTAGAGAAATCCATAATTTATGGAGATGGTCACATGACTTCGAAAGGTCACATTAACATGCTCTCCTGCCAGATTGTATTTTTCCGTCCTACATACTATTCATGTTAGGAGCCAGTGAAGCACCAAGCACAATAGAGCCCAGTGCAGACCTGAGCGATCCGGGATTGTGCGGTCCTGCACAATTGCAGACAGCGATTGCTGTGCTGCCCCATTGATTTCAATGGGGTCACATCCATGCGGAAATCGCAGAAAAAGTACATGTACCTTTTTTTTTTGCGATAGATGATGCGCGGCATCGTGTTCGGATGCGCGAGCGGAAACGCGACGGGAAATCGCACGATCCGCCCGGCATTACTGGGGTGCCATTAGAAAATAATAGCACCCTACAGTGTGATCATCTGTGATGGCCGACTCACTGACCGCGCGGCAAAGGTCACAGTTTGTCTAGATGTGCACCGGCCCTTATAAAGCACACTGGTCTGTTTTATAAATGTGTGGTTTGTTTGTTTTTTATATCAAAGCCATACCGCTTCTTCATAAAATCAGTTCCACAGTATTCAAAATCATAATACATATTCATGAATTTACACCAACCTCTCTTTTACATGTAAAAAAAAGAGACTATACATTCTCTTAAAGTCACATGCAGGGAGGACTTGTAAATACCTAAAGGACACAGACATTACTAAAAGCATTTCCTAAACGCTTACAACTTGCATCTCTCTATAACTAAAGCATGTTGTATGCCCTCCTTTTGATTTTCCAAAAACTGTGTAGCACAAGCGTCTACTTAAAACATTAGATTTACCAGTGATAGTGTTGTATAAAGATCTAGAGACTCTACAATCAAATTACAATAGAAGGGTCAACTTAAATGATATATAAACCCTATTGCAATAAAAATAGGAGTTACAGTATACTCCTCAACATTGATGGTTCAGTGTAAGTAGCACTTATTCAAGAAAAAAACCCATGCCCATATATCCGGCTGCTGGATCGGAGAGCCGCCGCAGCGCTGGAGGGACAGATGAAAACATCAGGAAAGAAGATCAGATTAAGAGACATCATTGAAGTTAAGTGCTGACATTAACATTGGGGGGGAGGGAAAAAAATTTTTAACTTTAATGTCACTTTAACTTTATTGCTATCACACAGGTTAACAAGTTCCTGTGTGATAGCATTCGGAGGTGACAGGTTCTCTTTATGAGCCTGCCCTCCAGTAGAGACTTTGGACACTGGACTTAGGAACGCAACTGGCACTTGAAATAGGAACGCAATTGACTCGGGACTGAGGCCCGGTGCAGGCCTATGCGATCCGGGAATGCGCATCCCGGGATCGTGCGGTCCTGCACAATGCAGGCCGCGATTGCTGTGAGGCCCCATTCATTTCAATGGGGTGACATCCGCGCGGCAAGCGCAGAAAAAAGGTACACGACGCGCGGCTGTTTTAGCCGGGATCATGTTTGGAAGCACGGACGGAATAGCGGGAAACCTTGCAATCCGCCCGGCGCGACTGGGGTGCCTTTAGAAAATAATGGCACCCAGAGCGCGATCAGTGCACACCTAGGCGACACCTGACGCGCGGAATCGTGCACGATCGCCGTGCGGTGATGTGTCCTCTAGGTGTGCACAGGCCCCTAGTAGTGTATGGACTTCCTATAGTGCCAGGGACAAGCCTCATTTCACACGTGCACCCATCTGGAACTAAATTCCTAAAAGTCAACATTCAACGTGACAGCCTCCACTCTCCTGCACTGCCCACCTATGTGATAGACAGCAGCCCATCTGCTGGATTGCACAATCCCAGCGCTGTGTGCAGCGAATACTGCAGTGCAATGAAGCAAGTAGTCCCCAAGTTACGTAAAAGCTTTTAAAACCTAAAAACGTTGAGTAGCGACACTGCTAGACACAAGTTTATAGAAGGGGATTTTAATACTTGGTCACTACAAATTTAACACTAAACCAATTACTAAAAAACTAGTACAGTTTCCTCACAGCCATCTCCAAAATCATTGTAAATGTATACCCATCACAGTCCCAGCCCAAGCTTATAGTTATTAGCCTAGAGGCTTGACTTCACTACCTCTGCATGGCTCTGACAGGAGAGAGCCCTACACTTAATCTGATATACAAATGGTACTTCACAATGAATGACATTGATTCGTCCATTGTGCTAATTGCACAACAAACTTATTTTCCAGTATATTGTCCACAATGTATTTAACATGTGAAAGATCCACTCTGTCAGTGACTAGTTTACTGGGTTTCCTTACTGTATCTTCAATTTCCGCAAAGTCAAAAAGAAAAATATTCTCTACATGGGTACGGCGGATTTCCTGGCCTTATAAAGGGCCCAGGTTTCTCCTGTTGGACGAGCACTGAGATACTGTCTCTACTGCACCTGCCTAATGCCCCTGCGGTCCTAACCGAAATGCTAGATCCGATGGAGCTTCCCCTCTCCCCTGTGTTTTTCCTGTGATGTCCAACCCTGGATGTCCCTTTCTCCCCAGTTGTGAGTCCTATGTGTGCCTAACCCCCGTTTGTTACTGTATGTTGTCATATGTTGTCTGGTTCGTTGGGATGCAACACGGCCGTATCCTCTGCACGCACGCACTCCATGAGAGGTGTGCAGTACACGAAATAAGGCGCATGCCTTTTGATCTATGCGACAGCCACACTACGTTACCTGCGACTACAGAGTATGAGTTGAGAGAGCACATGCATATCTGCCCGCTGCGCATGTTCTAAAGCAATGGAATGTGAATACATACAGTGGAACTAGGTGGATGACCGGACGTGTCTGTATTATGTTTCAGTGTTCTTGTATTTTTGTATTTTTGTACTTTGTCTATTGCGAAATTGAAATAAAATCTTATTATTAAAAAATAAAAATAAAAATATTTTGTTTTGGTTAAATGCTGAACACACCTTTACTTGTACTAGTCCAAAACCGATCCGCCACACCTTGTTGTTGGCCAGTTCAGTCTTGCAACTGGTGACAGCATCGTTCTCTTGGGATGATGCAATTACCGCTTTTTTTATTATTACACAGCAGCTGGTTTGTAAGTGCTAGGGCTCATAATTTTAGGGCCTCTCAGATTTTCATGCCCTCTGTGGAGCCAGCAGGTGCACTTCAAATATTTGTCACAACTGCAAACCACACTCCAGGGAGGAAGGTATTCTGCTAGCAGGCTGACCAAGAGTGCTGTAGGCTACAGACCTTGCAACAGTTGTCTAGAAGGCCTGTGGTGGCCCCAGCCACTCCATGATTTGGTAATCGCAGTATAGTTTTCAACAGTAGAAGGAATTCTTTACATTTTTCAAACTTCTCTACAAACAATGAGCCTCCTTTTCATTAGCACTTTACCATACGTATTGCATATTTTAGGGTAAAAGATAATAAACGCAAGACCTGTAGTTGAGTAACTGCAACAAGTGAAAGTTGGTTTATCTCTACCTAAAAAAAGTCTCTCAAAAAAGTTAATGTTATCCACCAGGGGACCAAGTGCATGTAGCCCTCTGTCCCATTCAGATAAGTGGCCCCATTGAGGGGAAAAAAAACCCCACCTCTTAAGGTTAATGCTGCCTGTAGGTTCAACCCAGTCTGAATCCTAACATATGGGTATTCCAGTGGGGGAAAGTACAGCCAGCACTAAGCCTGCCTGTTTACTATAATTAATAAACAATCAGTTCTACAGGACTATGTAATAGAGCTGCTGGCTGCTAGTAAGCATTCAGGGCAGCTCTATCACACAGCCCAGGCAGCACTGATTGTTCATTCGTAAAATACCCCAGAAGCTCTCAAAAAGCAGTGCTAAGTGATCTTTTATGAATGAATGCTCAACACTGTTGGGGCCAGTACAGTATGACACAGCCCCATAGCACGGAGCATTCATTCACCAAGCGCTAAGGGCTGCAATCACACAGCCACAGAAGATAGCTCATATAGCCCTGCCGCGCTGAGTGATCTCTTATGAAGGAATGCTCAACACTCTTGGGGAGGTGCCATACACTATACTGTCTGACATCACTGAGTGTTCCTTCATAAAAGAGCACTCAGCACAGCAGGGCTATGCAAGGTATTTGCAGGGGCTGCTTGCAAGTACACAGCCTTGTTAGATAGATCATAGCCTGCAACGCAGAGTAATCTTATGAATGGCAGCACTGGTCTGCAGAGCAGCCCTGCTGCCAGAGATCAGTGCTGTCACTCAAAACTCTGCATCCTTTCCTAGCAACGTAGTTGGACAGAGGTGCTTAAACTGTCCAACCATGCTGCTTTAAACAACAGTACAGATTTGAATGGAACCAAGTGCTATATAACAGGTAAGGAAAAGTGCTTTTACAGTCAAGTTGAGCATAATACAACTAAAAATGGTTTGGTATTACTTACACTGGGATATTTTCATAGGCATCTTCAAAGTTTTCCTGCAAGAAATTAAATAGAAAAAGGCAGTTAATTATCAACGATACTTTAACATTCACTTGGATGCAAAGTTTATGGATTATAGTCATTTATTTTTTAAACATGATTTTAATATGGCTTATATGCATTTGTCATTGTGGTACGCACTCCTTTTTAAAACCATTACATGGGGGGGAGGGGGGGACTGTATCTTAGGTTATATATGGGCAATCCTAAAAGGAAAACTACAGTAGTTTTGGATTTTGTTTAACTGTACCTTGTGAAACTAAAGGTGTAGGAGAAAACAGAGCCAGCAAAGTCAAAAGCAAACCCCTTTCTGAAGAAGACTGACTGAAAACCATAGCTGTCTACACTACTCCCCCATATTCAAAATTACCGGTCAGAATGGGATCAGCTACATTAAAACAGTGTTGATTTTGAAGTCACAAGTCCATTGCAGTTTACTGAATGGACTAAGACAGTATTTACTGGAAATGATCTAAACCAGTCAACAGGGGTCTCTCCCCCACTGACTGCCGCCTCCGCCGCCAGGGGTCTCTCCCCCACCGAGCACAAATGACTGTGCCTAAGCTTAGTCAATCTAGGACAATGATTATGTCTTGCTGCAGTCTCTTCTGTCCCAGTAATCATTCAGACTATACTATAAATTTATAACAATTTGCAAGGTGATACTATACCCATTAAAGGAGAACTATGGGGAAAAACACTGACCCCATAGTTCTCCTTTAATTGACCTTACAAAAGACACCAGACTCGTTATTAGTTTTAGATTTACCATGGCAAAACCCAATAAGTGCTTCAATTTTTGCAGACACAATGATGCCAACAGAGATTTTTCAGCTAGGCCAATTATGACTAAAAAAAAAGTTCAGACGTCTGGGAAAAGAATCAAACTATGAAGTGTAACTTTAAAAAAAAAAAGTATGCTGCTGCGGTTAGTTTCCATGCCTAGTTAATATACGTGTTAAATTCCAAGGAATCAGATTTCACCATAAGCAAGCTCTCATTCATAAAGAAAAGAATGAGGCAAGTGTCATAGTCCATTTACGCAAGAAAGAAGTTATCACATTTTGTTCTTCATCAACGCAAATGCAGCTACAGTGTGGCGAACACAAGCAAATAGCTCATCTGCATATTGTAAATATCTAGGCAAGTGGTGGTCAACTTACTTATACAGGTGAAACTCGAATAATTAGAATATCGTGCAAAAGTTCATTTAGAAACTAATATATGAGAGAGACTCATTACATGCAAAGCAAGATAGTTCAAGCCGTGATTTGTCATAATTGTGATGATTATGGCTTACAGCTCATGAAAACCCAGATCCACAATTTCAGAAAATTTTTGGCAGTGTGGGCAGGTGCCAATTCCTGCTGGAAAATGAAGTCAACATCCCATAGAGCTCATCTGCGGAAGGAAGCATGAAGTGCTTCAAAATCTCCTGGTAGACGGCTAAGTTGCATTAGTGAAAATAAATGAACTTTTGCACCATATTCTAATTATTCGAGTTTCACCTGTATATAGGGGTTTTCAAGTACGGCCCCTGACATTACCAAAGGGTTACACAGAATATCTAGTGCCCAACTTTTCATAGGGGGGTGACACCAAAATAACTGTCCCCACCCCACTTGTGATGCCACTCCACATGGCATTGTGTGTGTGCCAAGTGCTGCCCCCATTCCACTGTGTGCCATATTGTGGTAGCAGCATTCTCTAATGTGCACAATGTGCATTAAAGGGCAAGTTCACTCTCCCAAGTAATTTGGCAAAATGGAATTACCCGCTCAAATCTGCTGCAGCCGTGTTCTTGGTGTCATTTTAAACAGCCGGCGATGGCTGTTCTGTTCAGATAGTGATCTAGAATCTATACAGCCGTGGGCATGTGCTGCCCCCACCCCCTCCGCTGCCACCATCACCAAGCTCCGCTGCCCCCCGTGTGGGGCCCAAGCCCGGCACAGGGCTCTCCCCACAACGATCGACAAGAGATCCAGCCGCTGATCTCTCCACTGATCACCGGACCTGTAAGTGATGCATATGATATCACTTCCGGTGCCACTGTTTACATTCTCCAGCTCTTAGAGCCAGGAGAAGAAGCTGGGGAAGCAGATCTCTTTGGGGTCTCTAGGTGACATTAGGGGTCTGAATAATACAATTTTAAAAATGAAAACGTGTGCAAATACCATGCAACATAAAAAATTGCAACTAGAATTGTTTTATTCTACAGGGCCTCTGTGTGTGCGCAAGTAGTAAGAAATTGCTCAGGACAGCAAGTGGTTAAATATGGTTTAGATTGGGCCTCCTGCTTTAGTCCTTGGACAAGTAGTTTAAAAAACAATCCACATCCATGTCAAGTAAGCTTTATTAATTACAACAATATCATTGTTGTAATATTATTGTATTAATATCAATATTAATTGCATCATAAACAGCTCTAGTATGTATTACTATTACAATGCTGATGTTATAACAGGATAGGATATACTGGGACTTTACAACTCCTTTAATAAGCTAATGGCTCCATTTCAAGCTTACTCACTCTAAAATACTGGGGTGTCATGTGTTAAAGGCATAACTGGCATATTTAGAGATTGCTTCCCTTTACTTTTTCAGAACAAGCCCAGCATTTTAAACGAAACAGTCAAAAGAATGTTATTCTAAACTAGAGCGCCGACTCAACATCCTGTTGCGTCAAACCAGTCTGTCTGACCAATTACAAGAAATGACAGCAGAGCCATCATAGGTATTAGTACTGTACACATACTGCAGAAGGGCTTTTACTACACACAGCACACTGTTAGCGCACATTAGATCCATAAGCACACACGCCGCCTGTGCAGAAGCAGCTAAAAATAGACTATATGATGGTTTTTGTTTAAAGCATAACTGCAGCCACATCCTTAATTATAGGAACACAAAGTTTTATGGGGTGCAGAGTTCAACAGTATTGAAATATCAAAATAACTGGTTTATATATTAACTTCACCCAACAATGTTTAATTAGTACCAGGCTGCATTTAAACCCATGTGATTTCATGTACATTTGGAAAACCCATAATGTTTATGTACCATTTTGAATTATCACATTTCAGTGAAGTTTGTATAACGGTTTTTGAAGTGTGTTTTGATCCAGACGTGTTACATTGAAATGAAAGTTAATGCATGAAGATTAATACATGCAAAACGTGTACGTGTCAACAAATAACGCCATAAAATTAGACATGTCATATCAGGGGTGTGGGACTCCAATCGCCCGACACCCAGGGGCATGCAGTTCTGGGCACGTGTTTTCTTTCTACATTTAGACTAGATGCAGGCGAGCAGGGCTAAAATGTAGAGCAGGGGAACAGTGCTTGTTTTGTACAAGTGTAAAGTGGCAGGCGGACCTGGGGGGGGACGGGTCAGCGGAGGTTATGGACAAGCAGGCTGCTACAAGTGATCTGGGTGACTGTACACTTTTACAAAACGAGTGTCGTTTAAATTTTTTCTATCACTTATTTTTTTCACTTACCTTTATTGCTATCACACAGGGGATAACAAGTCCCTATGTAACATCATTTGGAGGTGACCGGTTCTCTTTATGGAGACATCTGGTTTCTATTAGACCTCAGATGTCTCCATAATTAGACTAGTCCCCCTATTAGACTTCAAAACAGAAGAAGATCGAGCACAGCATTGTGCTCGATCTTCTGTACAGCCGCCCAGATCACTAGTATAACATGAGCAGTGGCTGCCCCGCTCTACATTTAGCCGTGCTTGCCCGCAGCAGGTCTAAATGTAGAAAGAAAACACCTGCCCAGGGCCTGGAACTGCATGTCCCGGGCGTCGGGCAATTATGCACCGAGTGCTGCCCCCATTCTGCTTTCCAAATGCAGTACATTCACTTAAAGCCGAACTACACCCTCCTATCCCTTACAACCAAAGAAGATGCCACCTTAGCCCCTATTTGGATGGTGCTGCACATTAGAGCTGCAACAGTTAATTGATTAAAATCCACGATTGAAAACGTTGGCAACGTTTTCGATCGTCGATTCATCGGCTATCGATTGATTAGCCTGTTCGGGGCTCGACATGCGGCCTGAGTCACACGCTGCTCCCGATGTGCCCGCGCCGCCGTATAAGCCACGCTCACCGCACAGGCTGAAGCCACGCACGCCGCTGGTCTCCTCCTCGTCGTGAGCTCCCTCAGCCGCCGCATAAGCCACGTCCACCGCACGCTGAGGACATGCATCTGGCCCTCTCCTCCCGGTGAGCTTCCTGACTAGCCGCTGCCCGCCGACAACACCGTCATTCAAAGTAAGTCGAGATCGGCCGGGAGCTTTTTAATGTTTCCTGTTGTGTTTGGGTTTTTTTAAGCGGCACACTGCAGAACATTAGCAGCTATAGAGGAACACCAAATCCCAGCAATAATACATTAAACAGCCTGTATAATGTATTATTGCTGGGATTTTTTGTTCCTCTATAGCTGGTGGTATTCTCCATTGCGCTGTATAATGCATTATTGCTGGGATTTGTAGTTCCTCTATAACTGGTCAGTGGTAATCTGCATTGCGCAGTATAAACATTATACAGCGCAATGGAGAATACCACCAGCTATAGAGGACTACAAATCCCAGCAATAATACATTATATACAACACAATGCAGAATACCAGCAGCTACAGGGGACTACAAATCCCAGCAATAGTAAATAGTATAATGTTGTACTATTGCTGGCATTTGTTGTATTCCTCTATAGCTGCTGGTATTCTGCATTGTGCCGTATAATCATTCTACAACGCACTGCAGAATACCACCAGCTATAGAGGACTACAAATCGCAGCAATAATACATTATATACAGCGCAATGCAGAATAACGCCAGCTACAGAGGACTACAAATCCCAGCAATAGTACATTATAGTATAATGTACTACTGCTATAGTATAATGTACTACTGCTACATTCCTCTATAGCTGCTGGTATTCTGCACTGCGGCGCTGTATAATGTACTATATTGCACACCAC